CTGACCCCGTCCATGTACACGAGCCCAACCTCTGCAGCCATGGGCCATGGGGTCAGGGACATGATTGAAGCCCTGCCAAGGGCAGCACACAACCCTCAGCCTCGCAAGAGGAACCCCCCTTCAAATCAGCATCGTTCCAGGTGACAGAGCCCAGCCGGTACAGGTCTCCCAGAAATATCCCAACTCACAACAAAACCTCAGCAGTCAAACGTATCAAGGGAGAAAAAAATGCTTCTGAATAAAAAAAAAGCTTTGAAGGGAACAAGAAATGGGTGGAAGCCCCCAAGCAGGGAGGGCTGCAGAGCTACGGAGAGCATGGTCCACCCAGGGGGATGCTCTGACCAGTGGCACAGGAGCCTTCAACCAGGAGCAGGAGGATGCAGGTGGGTTGGGGGAATGAAAGAAGGGAACCTTCTGGCTCTGACAAGGCACCAGTACCTTGGGAAGACAAAAGCCAGAGCAGGTAACATTCCTCATAAAAATGTCGAAATGCAATTTATGTTCCTATAAACAACTAAAGAAAAGCTTCGCCTTAGCAGGCTGGATCTGTGAAAATACACGGAGGCTTTGGCAGGAGGAGCCCATTTCCCTTTGCTCATCCAAACTTCAAGAAGAAAAATAAGTCCTGGCCACAAGAGTTAGTCCCAGTCTCTGGCTGCCAGCGGTTCTAGAGCCGTCTCACTGGACCTCAGCGCTGGCTCATCCCCCTGCCCAAAAAAGGAGAGATCTGCACACATCGGCGAGCCAGCACCTCTCCGGGGCCACCCTCTGCAGCAAACTGCCCCACCGAAACACCCACCCTGGAGGGAAGCAAGAGCTCTAAAATGAAACGTGGGACACCAGAGACATGTCCCCATCCCCTCCTGATGGGTCACAAATCCTCCTGCTGCAGTTTTATTGCCAGGGAAGCAGGACACGGAGCCAAGCCGGAGCTGCATGCAATCGAACAGCTCATCAGAGAGGAGACTGAGGTTTCAGCTGGGAGCAAGGGCGGCTCTCGAGCAAGGGTGGCTGCTGCAGCACATGGGTATTACCGGGACCGCAGGCATCCCTGGGGCTGGCACGCTCTGAACTGGCTTTATCACGCTCCCTGCCAGCATCTCCCCTCCTGCTGCAGCCCGAGTGCCGCTCACCCGCATTCCCCAGCCGTCTCCACCGCCCCAAGAGCACTCCAGCACGCCGTGCCCAGCACCAGAGCAGCCGGGGAGGGGGGCGGCACGGAGATAAGGGGGCTCTCGAGCCCCTCTCTGGAACAGGCACGCACGTACAGGCTTGAGGAGTGCAGTTCCAAAGGGAAGGCAAGGGGCAGGGAAAGGATGCTCGCAGCACTGGGCAGGTCTCTCCCACCCTTGGGGGACACTGGGGGTGGCAGGGAGTCGTTCACACGACAGCTTCTGTGCCTCACATGGGGGTTGGAGTGGGGGGACTTGTTGAGCAGGAAAACACAGAGGAGAGATTATCCCCCTCGAGAGTGAACCAGTTTTATAGTTATCTGCAACTGCAGCCCTCTGGCCTCTGCCCTGCACGGCCCTTCGAGTGCTTGTGTTCCCCTCGGGGCTTCTTTGAGACCATCAGACAGACCCTCACCCTCTGCCAAATACCCCCATCCCATTGCCCAGTGACTGCACACAAAGATCTGACACTGCAAAGTTCAAACAAGAGGGTGAAAACCCATCAGGGGCTAGGGGAATGCAAGTCTCTTGACTTTTAATTAATCTTCTAATTTTTTGAAGCCCCAACTCCAGAATCCCATGGCAGGCGGGGTGGAAGTAGATGATTTTTAAGGTCCCTTCCAACCCACACCATTCCATGATTCTACGATAATTCCAGAGGTGGGAGCTCAGCACTATCTCAGTCCTGATTAAGAGACTTCAAGGTCCACAAGGATCTTGAACCGACCCCCCGCCCACTGTCCCTGCCATGCCCAGGTGTCAGGGTGAGGGCACAGGGACATTCCCAGTGGCACAGGGACATTCCCACCAGCACAGGAGCAAGCAGGCTGGGCTGGGACCCTCCTGCTCAGCACAAGATTCACCTGACAAGCAGAAAAAGGGAACAAATTTAGTGTTGCTTGGACTCTACAGGTGCAACTGAAGGTTAAGAACAAAGCTGAGCAGTGTGATTTATTCTCAGCACCTCTGTGATCCCAACAGCCTGTGACTGAGGTGAGCCCTGTTCTCCTGCATACCTGAGATCAAAATAAAAAACAAAAAAAAAAAAACCAACAAAACCCATCCCAGGCATAAACATGGCTGTGACAGCTCCTCTGCAGAAGCTGCACATGCCTCAGCTGCTCCGGGACGCAGAGGTTAGCTGGAGACGTTGCACCCACGTGCCCTCGCACCCATTTCTCTCCCAGCGCGAAGGGACTCAGCTCCCCCAGGGCCAGCGCTGAGCAACGCCGCAGCCACCAAAGCACAAGCAATAACTGCTACGCAGGCTACGGTCCAAGCCCAGGCTGCTGGGCAGGGTTAGGAGACAGCGATGCCCTCGAAGCCATTTGCACAGCCTATTCCAAGCCGAGAAGAAGCCCCCTTGAAAAATCCCCCTGCTCGGTGCACGCAGCTCTGTTTGCACGAGCTCTTTTCTCCGGAGAGATGGCACTCAACCAGCAAACAGAGGGAGCTTCAGCTGGCAGGGAAAAGGAGCTGTGACAGGCAGCTTTCCTCCCGTCTGATCGCACAGGAATCCCGACACCGACATCTGCTCCACCACGTGCTGGCGATGCCGCCCGACGTGAGCCCAGGGTGCTAAGGGGCACAGGTTGCACAGTGCAACCCTCCTGCTTCCCCAGCCCGGGACCAGCTGTTTCTCCAGCCTTTCGCAGCAGCGCAGCTCCCTGGGGTTGTGCTTCTTCATCCCACAGTCAAGTCAAGACACCTTCCTGCAGCCCCACCTCCGCTTCCCTCGGCAGCAGCCGCAGGGCAGGCGCTGGCTGCGAGGAGGTGAGGTGCACGAGTAACCAGGGCAAAAAAAATACACAACCCAGGAACACAAAGGAGACAAAAGGGGAAAAAAAAATAAAATACACGAGGCAGGCAGAGAGTACAGCTGGAGGCTCGTGCTGAAAGGTAGCAGTGGGGTATTTCCATAGCTAGGTTTAAAGGGGGATAAAGGTGAAAAACTACCCCCTGTTCTGAAGCAGATGGCAATTGGAGTTAATTAGATGGCTGATCGAGTCATCCACCTCCCAGCCAGGCCACAGCCTTCACAAGCAACATCAGAGTCCACCAGCGTGCTCCCCACCCTTACCGTCTCTAATGAATGGATGCGAGGCAGCAAAGACCAAGCAATTACCTGCAGGGCATCCCATTCATCATCACACACAGGCAAGACTTTGTCACTGGTGACTCACAGAAAGGATTGGGGAAGAAAAGGGAGAGAGGAAAAAAAAAAATTGGGCTGAAACCTAGCTCCAAGAGGTCCCTATAGCATACTCTTTCGCCAGCGAGCACATAAAACACTGGATTAAGAGTGTTTTACAAGACTCCTGGCAGCTACAGGGAGGCAGAGTAAGAAGAGTGAAAACTTTATTAAAGCAGAGCCTTGCAAGGGTCTATTTTAAGTGCAATACAAAACCAGAAAGTAAAAGGATTTTCCAGTATGCCATGGGGGTCCATCCCACCGCAGGGAATGGGATCACCTGTACAGGCATGTGCAGCGCCAGGGAATTCCTGCCAGGAGGATGCTTTGAGAAACGCCAGCCTTGGTCTTGTAAAGAAAGGTGAGAGCGTAAGTCTCCCCAGGAAGAGAGCTGTTGGTCTGGACAGCTAGCAGAGCAGCAAACCCACCTCCCCCAGCAACTTCCCCATCCATCCCGGCAGAACAGCTGCTGTCACCCCCCAAAATATGGGCTCTATTGTTTGGAACAGGATCCACATCCTTTTCAACACTTCCTATAGCACATATAGAACATGCATGTGTCCTATAAATAGGAGCTCTCTCCATGAACACCAGGTCAGGCCAGAATAAGGCACATCAGAGGGACAATGCCAGCACAGGGGCTGTAAATGGGATGAAAGGCAGCACCCGAGCTTGGGAAGAGCAGCAAGCCCAGGAGCAAGCACAGCACCCCAGATCCCATGTCAAATCCCTCGGGAAAGTCAATTTGGGGAGT